ATATTTATATATAATAACTTGTTCATAGGCCGACTGACGGAGGCAGTCATTGTAGATATACAGTCACGGGAGCCTCGCGAAGGAGAAGTAACTACTAGCAGCATTGTAACTGCTCTTCTACTATGTATATAGACTAGTAGTAGTTATTAACTGACGCTGTTTTGCCTTCTTCTCCCGGTTTATCCTTGTATCTATGTTGCTTCGCTTTCTGTCTGAAATCAACTTCAAAAACTCAACGCGAAGAAATAAGTTGTTGAGCGATCCAGCTATTGGTATCGTAGTTGACAGGTATAAGCGGTTGTTATAATTCAGTTTTGCGTCACATTGCTGGCCACTGGTATTGCCTCGATCGGAACTGTCTTCTCGTTCATTGTCAAGCGGTGCTTAACGACGAGTGTAGATATGGGGATAGCTTCTTCTTACAATAGCCATCTTGGGCGGGGGAGCTCTGTGCTCTTCCCACTGGGCGCTGGAGATCTACAGCGAAGCGTTTCCGTTGTTGAGCTGCGCTTGCGCCACAATGGCGTTACTCGCCGAGTACTTCATCCTCTTCTGTTTCCGTCTCTGGTTACAGAACCAGACGCGGACGACATTTTTTTTGAGGTCAAGTTTCTCAGCGATTGCAGCTATGCGTTCACCCGAGGGCCGCGGCTGGACGGCAAAGTACGCCTCCAGAGATCGCTTCTCGGGCGCCGCGATCGACGTCCGCTTGCGCTTCTTCTCGCCCGCCGGAAGAACGCCTGGCATGTCGGGATCACGCCTAGGTAGATAAATCAAGACAGAAATACGAAGGTACACAAAGATAAGCAAGAGTTTAGCGTTAGATGCTTTTGCAATATAATGCACCAGCGGTAAGCACCTAGCATATGCCACTTACCTGTCCATATATTATCCCAACGTTGCAAAACCTAATGTGAAGTAGGTTTTTTTATTCAGATTTTCCCAATAATTTCTGGGTGGGAGAATAGAAGGATGATTGTGAAGGTGGGCACCAATAAGGTTTTTTTTTATAGCTACAGCCCTTTATGCCTGAGAATGACAAGATCTTTTGAAAACTAAGAGCGGAAATCAGCCAGGCGCATCAGACAATACACTTCCTTGATACTTGTTGCACGTAAATAAAATTACGAAGACCAGTTGCAGTGAACGAGCATTTTTGGATATTTTTGTTTACCTCTTACACTTGGCCTGCGCTTCCGCGGCCTCCAACCAGGCCGCCAGGATGGGCTTGAGGGCAACCATGTTGTTGTGTGAGAGGGTGAGCGACTCAAAGCGGCAGATGGTACTCTGCGACAAAGATCCCACGCCCGGAAGGCGTAAGTTGGCCAAAGCGCGTCCCACGTCCGCCTGGGTTACGCCTAAGTGTAGACGGAAAAGAATACCCTATAGAATTTATTTGTTTTTAGCTTAAAATAAAACCATATCAATGGATTTTCAAACACCGGAAGGACAGTAAGTATGAGTAAACATAGAAAGTCTACGGTTTTGACGTTGGAACGGACGTTCAAAACGCACTTACCAAGCTTAATCCGTCTCTGCTTGAACCTTTCAGCAAATGCTTCCAGCTCTCGCGGGTCAGTGTCCACCCCACCAGTGGGATCAATCACCGAAGTCGCGGGACCAGCGCCCATTTGATGGTGGTGATGCATCATTGTGCCTGAGCAAATATCAGATATTAATAAAGCAATTCCGGCACCAGGCGTTAGTTAAATTAAGTTAATTAATTAAGTTAAGATTAAAATTAACATACATTGTTAAATAAGAAGAAGAAATATATGTACGCACTTTGTAAACTATCGACACGAGTTCGCCAAGTTTTACTTTTAAGTGTTACGCAAGGCGTTCGCTCCGATCACGTAACTACACTCATCTTCTACTGCACAAATGTATATCACAGGTCAACAAAAAGCGTCTAACCGAGAATCTTCTGTCAGCTGCAAAGTTTGCTGTTGTACAATAATAGTTCTCTTGATCATTTTTTCTCCAGCTTTCCGTGCATATGGAGAATAAAACAGCGAAAATGACTACAGTCTCACAATCTATCGGTGGGACAAAGTTAGTACGCTTCTCTACGCTCGTACGATTCTACGATGCCAATTATGTGACGATACCCGGTTCACGTCGAAAGGTGTTGTGGACTCTAGGGTCGATAGCTTGATGAACCTGGCGTCGAGATCAAGTCGATGCCGTATCAAACCTTTTCCATTATGAAGACAGTTGAGCGCCGGTGGCGGCGATCCCTATTGCTCAGCAGGACTAAACCGCCATAGCGAGCAGCCGAAGTAAACCAGATGTCCACCTCAGTGGGTTTACAGCGGAACGGGGTCACGCCGCTGCCGCCATTCTGCTAGCCAGCCAACCGAGTTTCAAGACGCCTCAAGATCATTATCATTCGAACAATTCGACGATGATTAGTATTTTGGCACTATGGCGCTACAGCTGCAGAAGGTCGAGGCCTTGCATCGGTTGCCGTCACTTATTCCCTTTGCACCAAGAGAATGCCACTGGAGCATGCGTGAAACGATATATCTCAGAGAAATATCGTATGGTCCGTACCCGTGGTAAGTGTGCCCGAATAAACCTCAATTCTAATGTTTGCGTTCAACAATAAGCTCCTAATATAATTTTTATCTCTATTTCCTCGTCATATCGAGCTGATGACTCGTTTCTGTATACATATGTAGTTTTCTCTATTGTCGAATTCATCTGTTCTATTCATTGACTGACGATTTTCACAATCCTTACCGCATATGGAGGTCGACGGGGGGGGGGGGGGATTGTCGTCAGTTGTAGTGGTGAAGCCATTACTTTCATCAATGTGAAACATTAACAAGCTGGAATGACACGCATAGACTCGAATCGGCGCCCCCCTTTTATCCTACAACAACCTGCTTTTAGCCTTCGTCGCCGAAGATTAAGGCAATCATGTCGCGGGTTATCGTCACACAAAGAAAGAAAACACGCAAACACTAACAAAAGAGCTTATAGATTGGATACGTATGCAAATCTGTACACGGCTGTATAAGTCCGACGGTAGTGACGTATTACTAACGGGTCTAGTGGCAGCAGACGAAAAAGCCTAAATCATCAATTTCCCGCTATGTTTAGTGTTTGTCCAAGAAGTGGGAATATGTCTCATTTTGTAACATGCCGTAGTATAGTATTGTACTAGTTGCACTCAAACTATTCGTAAACTTATAATAGTCTATAGAGATTGTCGCATCGTGTTGCGTTCAGGTTTCAAAGTAGAGAAGAAATGCTAGTCCTTTGTTGAAGTGTTATACTGAAGAGATATATATACAAACTTTAAGACCCTTTAAAATGAGTCTTTACTACAATGGAACCTTAGTTGTTTCAAATATGACGGGTCAAAACAAATTTTGAAAATATCAATCGAGAGAAACATCAAAATACCATTTCCGATACCAGAAATCCCTCAGAGCTCATTTATGTTTGAAACGTATGGAGTGTTATCTTAGCATTGCACAGAATCTACCATACTTTTATGATAAGTGCATAACTTGTTTCGAAGGCCGAACCTACTAACGATAATCGATTTCTCAACCCCAACACTACTAAAAAAGGCAAAGTCCTAATGGATTACTATGAAATACGTATATTAAAATAAATGTTCTAAATTGCTTTTTTTTTTTTTTAAAACTAATTTACCGGTCAATTAACAATAAATAATGTGGCAGAGGGCAGTCTCCTAACCATTCATGGGGTAGTGATGGAACTGATCGGTGTTGGCAGCCGTTGTCATTCCTAAGGGCGGAAGATTCGAAGGACACAGCGGATCGATTAGTTCGTGGCCTAAATCCATTTGGGACATATGGGACCTGCAATGAACACACAACGAAACTTATTTAGGTTGCTTAGTCCGTAATCGAAATAAGTATCTTATTGTATTTTTTGCTATGTCCAAAATTCGACGGTTACCAACTCAGTCAGCTGAATTGGTTGATATAAGTTGAAGAGAAACGCTGACTGTTATTGCATGTTATTTTATACAATTCATTGCAAGGCTCGGAGGAACGCCTTATGTCGCTGCCTTCTCACCTGGCCGCGGCGCTAGCTGGGTTGTGAGCCGTGGGTGTTTGCGAAGAGCCCATCGGGTGGTGATACATGCCTGGATGCAGGCCGCTCATGTCGGGATGATGTTTGATGCCCGGATGGTGGCCGGGATGCCCCGGATGTCCTGGATGACTCGCGGGATGTTTGCCAATGTCAACAAGGGCTTCTGCTCGCCCCATCAATGCTGCATCGTCGAGCGCGGGGAAGAAATTACCCTGAAACGGTGACTGCTCCAGAGTTAGATACTGAATTCCGCGTACTGATAATGTCGTTGGGCTAAGCACGTGCATGCGGTGTGCGGGCCAGCGTTGGTACGTCTCCTACCTAAGGGCAAAGTGGTTATAATGGCAACGAGGTTGAAACGCCGCATACTTTTTTTGGTTTTCTTCATAATTAACCCGATACTTGTGACAAACGATATTATTTAACACGTGAAATAAAATCCTTATATATATAAAAGAGTTCAACTAGGCTTATAAGCTTTTCGGAAGTGTGCTACTGTGCTTTAGCAACCGTAATTCCAATGCGAACTTTTAGGTTCCGGTTGTCTGAGAGTTTGTCCAGTAATTGTGTTCTTCTTCTTCAGAAGTGTTTTACACTGGCACTTCAAATAAGAATTGAGCTTCGGCTCAAAAACAAACTCTTATATATAAATCAAGGCTGTACTGACTTCCTTTGATTCAATCTTCCGAAATTTATTATTCATAAATAGTAAAATCAATCAGTTTTTAAGTAAACAAAGTAATCTTCAATATATCGGATAATGTAATTTAGCATCCGCATTGCTTCTTCAAGTCTGACGAAGACAAAATCACCAAATATTTGATATATGTGAATATTTAAATATGTTTTATTAAGACAAAGAGGGGAATGCGCCGTGGTGAGATACAGGCACAGTTAAGTTTACACAATAGCGCTAATATAATAACGTAAAAACACGTTTCCCGAGTTCATAATCGAAATAAGTAACTATAATGTATGCTTCAATAGGGCAGAACGAATCGTACGGTTCCACATTAGTGCTGATAAAAGCAGGTTCAATGAAACAGCATTGAATTTGCTCTGAGCAACTATTACGTTATGAAGATATTTAGTTTTCAGAAGAGAATTGTTACATTTACGAGGTTCTGCATTCGGTACCGGTCCGCTTCGGTAGAGTCACCTCCTCCGGCGACGTCGTAATGGAACCTCGGAGCCGCCGCGATACACCGCCATCTTCGACTTTGCGCCTCCGCGTCCTCCTAAACAAGAGATTAGTAAAGATCGAGTCGATAGAGGCTTACCATACGGTATCATTCGCTTACGGCTTAACGATACTAATGAATTATGAACGACAAATTAAAGCATGTCAAATTATGGGGGTCTGAACACAACTTGCCATTGGTCTCGTATGTTGAACACGAAAACCTCTAACATAACATATTCAAATCAAGGGTTTATTTTAACCCTTGATTTGACTTATCCTGTTGTTATACCATTTTAATAGTTTTTTGTGTTATTTTTTCGTGTAGGCACTTACTTCCTCCATGAAAAGCTTTTTAGACGTCCAATTCGCTTGAGGGTCTGGTGAGGCCTCCGTCTTGACCATAAATTCGCTTTTCGGTTGATGGCTAGGTGGCGTCTGAAAACGTGAACGCATTACGCATCTTCTGAGATAAGACAAAGATACTGATAATGATAATAAACAATAACATATGTATGCTATTTTCTGTTTTATTAAAAGTGTCACGCTTATGGTGTTTTTTTGGGGGGTGATTCCATTGGCCGAATAGTCGAATAAGAAATTGACGTAGGCTCTGGGTTTCAAGCCCATTTGTCAATCGGTTCTTGGGTCAGTTATCGTTGTTCTATGTTCGTCAAAGAATGAGCTCTGCTACAATCAACTAATTCTAGCTAATATCGCTTAGATTCACGTCGTGTCGAGTGTCCCTTGCTGCTGTCCATGATTCACGTAATTCAAAGGTGTTGAACTGGTCTCTATAACAGCCAATAAGCATTTTCACTCTATTCGACCTTAAACGTTTACGTCCAGCACTACTACTGTGCATTCCATCAGACGGCTCCCAGTACGAAAGCAGGTTTATCTATCACCGGATCGGAACTTCGACCACCGCGTACCCATAAGGATTAGCCGGCAAAAATCCACTAAACTATCACGGCGAGCGCTGTGTGTAGGCCTCGGAGTTCTAGACCGTTCGTATTTCAAGCTTTTGAATTACAAATCGCGGATGGTTTGTGGTTTTAGCAACGAATAAAAATTTGGCCCCTTTAGTTTAATTGATTGGCGTCTAACTATTACAGGTTGCTTAATATATTCAAGGCAATATACTGGATCTAGAGAGTGAACTTAGCTAATCTGCTACTGCCAATGTAAAAAAAGTTCAGCAATAGCCTTTTTTTCACTAATCTTTTAGCTATTTTAGCATTGGATTAAGCTTCAGCGTTGGCAGCTTGTAAGTTCCGAGGGTCTGATAGGATCTGGAGGAAGTACTCTGCTACAAGCCACAGTGAAATGTCGATAAGAGCATGCTGCGGCCAAACAACGGAGTCTTCAGTTGACGATATAAAGGCTTTGTACACAGAGCGATGTATTCAATTGTTGTACGATAACGTTTTGTTCCATTAGCTTTGGTGAACCAAAAAGTTCAGGGTCTTCGGAGGGTGCTTCCTTTACGTCCCGTTACATTGCTTTCGTAGACTGGCGCCGTTCGGATTTATACGATACGGCTTGGAGGACAAGCAACTCAAAACAAGAGGCAGCAGTCGGAAAATGTGTCCCTTACCTTAATAAGTTAATCGCTTTTACTGATGCGTCCGTAAGTGGAGCAGAAGCCCGTCTCGCACCCAAACGGTGAACAAAAGAAGGCCACAAATAACCAGATATAGGATCTTGCTTGTGTATCCGAATTTACCCTCATATAAAATTTCTAGCACTAATTAATGTAAGGACTCCCTGACCGGATTAATATTTTATTAATTCAGGTCTATTTGTTTTTTTCTTGGTGTGAACTGTCCATTGTATCATTACTGTTGTTATTGTTGAATTATAGTTAGGTTATGCGCGTTGACGATATTACGATAGATTTCAATCGTACACTGCTATTTTCATCATGGCAGTTGAGTCAGTTTGTCCTGATAGGCAGCCATGTTGCAAATGAGCTCCGTGCGGCTTCCGATTGAGAAGTCCTATTTTGCTAATTGCTATAGAAGACAGACACATGCGTGAAGGTTTAGAGGTTTGACTCAGAGAAATGAATAGATAGATGTTCGACCCAAAAAAGCTTAGTCAATATAGTAAGCACTGACAGCAGTCATATTTGCAGTAATAACATTGGGTGGTATTGTCTAATATACATTGATAGAGACAATAATGGGAGAAGCCAGCCTGAGCTGGAAGTGCAATAAAGTAGGGCCTTAGAAGTTTAATAAAGTTTCTTGCTTGCATACAACTACAACAGCTACTTAACTTGATTTATTACCTTAACTATACGATATCTACAGGCGCTATCAGCTATTTTCTATAATATTGACATACACTTTGAATTTTCTTTGTTTTATCGCACACACAGTATAGTATTCATTATAAGCTATTTGTGGCAATATTTGCCATCAGCTTTTCCATAATTCCAATGTAAAGATATAGGCTATGTTCTGGCATATATATGTACATCTGAGCGCTGCCCCCAGTACAAGCAGAACCGGACATTCTAAGCGTCGTTCAAATCTAACCTGCGGATAGAGTTGTTTACCTAACCACAACAGGCCTAATGCTTGGCAGATGAGTGATAATAACTAGGCTTGAGCTATGTGAACTACGGGCCACCTTTTCGGCTTTAGCCAGCGTGTCCCCAGGATCTCGAAAGGCTCTTCCCTCTGCTGTTTTTCTCTCGCAGCTGCTCCGTTGCCGGACACAAAGGCCATTCATTTGTTTCTATTGTCGGTGGGTCAATATTCTTCAAATGCATCAACGTCCGTGAGCTTAGGACGGGCTCATGCCAGGCCAACTAATGCTGTTGCTTCACATTCCGTTGAGGCTGATTGATTGAACCCGATTGGGCAGCAGCTTTGGCGTACCTGGCCGATTCCGAATCGTAGAAACCTAACCTAACCTTATCCGATTAGCTAGCCCGCGTCTATAGGCTGTCCTGGAGCAGGCGGTGGAACACCGCTGATCGTACGGCCAGACGTACGTTTGCTAGAGTGGCAGCGACACTACTCCCGAAGGAAACTTGCGTGACGTTCACGCAAGAGGCACACCGTACGTGGTCGGAATCAGAAAAGACAACAGTAGAAACTGCGAGCATTCAACATATCAGTATCGTCAGTTTTGCTGCTACAGATGCAAACGTAATACAATTGTGACAACACGCGGTGCTCCAGTCACACCCATTCAGAGAGTACACAGCTGCTGTGACTGTTGTACTTCTACATAATACAATTATAACTTGTGACGAGGATACCGGTGTATAGGTTTATTGTGCGCAGAACCTTTGTCAAGTTACATTCCCGACGCGGCATACTGTTGATTAAAGTCAGACAGGAATTTTCTTAATTTTTCTGGGGCTGTTAAACTTCTCCAGTGCTATAGGGGAATATCCATTACGCATGTATGCAAAAGCATGTTAACGGCAAACCAGCGCTATTCTGTCCAACTCGCATTCGAAGCCATATTAGTCTAATTTGCTATTATAGCCTTGTGTAGGTGTGCACGCGATATCCATGGTCGCTATGCCACCATCAACGGGTCGGCCCGCCATCGTTGGGCAGCAAGCCCAATACGCAATGATGTAGCAGATTTTTTCGCGTATACATGTTATACACGGTGATGAACAAAAGTTTCGCGGCCTGCTGGAAAGTTGGCGAGAGTAGCACGTTGCTAGTTGCTTAGTTCTTTTTTTGTTTTATCGAATACTATGTAACAAAACAAGGCCACCATCCAGTTGGAAACGATCCAAACAGAAAACTGCAAATTTCGCCCTGAGAGTTATATGGGTTCGCTGCGTTTTCGGTGTGAAAGTTAGGTGAGACGTTAGGTATCATGATTTGGGAAAATTATTTTTGACCAGGCTGAAGCCACTAGACTCACTAGTTGTAGTACGGTCTATTATAGTTGTAGAAACAATCGTGGCTGTGAAGTGCGCCTCTGCTAAGGGGGAGCAGCAGCAGCACTCGAAGGGGCTGCTTGCTCGAAAAGAATGGAGAGCCTTTTTCATCGATAGCAGAGGAAGTGGACGCCGTAGACTTGTACGGCTATAGTCTGCTCTCTTCTTTCGAGTAGGTTCCATCTAGTGACTCCGCCAGCGATCTTCACCGCTGGCACCAGCCTTCGCCTGACTTCGACTTCCCGCCTCACGAGAGCTAGCAGTACAGCTCTTCTTTTTGGTGAGTTAGTCGCTGAGTCCTCATGTTCGCGATGCCGCTCGGGTGGTGCTGCTGCCGAGGCTGCGGCAGCGCTCATCGCTGTCCGAGCGCCACCATTCGAGAGATGCAAGTCCGAGAGCCGACATCGAACAAGAGAGGGTCGATTGAGTGCAGCGTGCGCTTGTTCTCTCAAAGAAAAAAGGTAGAAATAAAGAGTGAAGCAAACGCCGGAGTTCGGTGCAGAGTCAGCTCGTCGTTAGCTAGTGGCCAGGCGCGCCTTCCTACGCCAACATTAGCACAGGGAGAAAAACGGACTAACTGCTCCTTTGACTGACGACTATCTAGCCGCTAGCGACAAAAAGAGCAACAACTTATGCCTACCTGACCGACCGCGCGCCCGCCCGCGTTCTTTCCTGCTCTCAGCGGTGCTGCGTGCCTGCCTAGCCGGCCTAACCGTAAGCAGGAGTCACTCCTCCCAGTTGAACGATGATGATGACTACTTCGCGATTGTTCATGTCGCTGCCATCTAAACAGTATCGTGTTGCCCTCTACCAGCCGCGCAGCATCGCTTCGTTAAATAGCTCAGGGTGAAAGAACGAAGCATTACCTAAATTTTATCTAACAACCACTAAATGCGATCGGCTATCTCGAGCAGTGCGCCTGCCAAGCGTCACTGTCCGGCCCAGGTTTTCGTCCGCAAAACGCTTTCAAGGGAAGTGTGCTGCAGAAGGCGCAAAAAAGTTGGAGGAACAATGCCAATTTTTCATACCAGCGGACTAAACAGGTCATTATTTACGGTCTACTACAACTATATGACTCAACTGACGTCAGTCAAGTAGAGGTGGTTCCATAAAATTGGCTACCTGCAACTGTGTTTGTTTTTATTGGGGTAATGATGCTGTCTTTGCTGGAGTAGGCTCATAGAGGACCCTATTCTGTACAGGCAAGAGTAGGATACTGCAGGCCGCATGGACAACAACTGCCCCCCCCCCCCCCCCCCCCCCCTCTTATTGCCCTTTTTAGATCAAACATGGAAAAGAATTGGCTCTACAGTCTAGACTCAACTGTTGGTTGGCTTTACTTCTCTTTGGGAGTAGTAGAAATATTGGCAATGAATGATCTGTTTGAGCCAGCATCGTGAGCCAGCCGTCGTCAAAGCTCCTAGAGAAACTGCCGTCTATGCTTAGGCGTTCCGACGCTCTGATGATACACATCGGGTAAGTCGACGAATAAGCTACATAAAAAACGACCGACTTCTAT